AAAAAAAAAAAAAAAAAAAAAAAAAAGGTATTTAATTGGACCAAAAGAAGGGCAGTATATAATGATGAAAAACATAAGATTGACCACAACTTTCCATATATCAAATCACATAATTTTACAATTTATAAATCAACCAAAAGTATTACATGAGAACACTGAAGATCTACTTAACATATTTAACATATTTAACCAGCTGGTTATACTAAATATATGTAGAACTTTCTGTCCTGAAGATAAAGAATATACATTCTTCTCAAAGCCCCATGGAATACTTAACAACTAACAATAACGACGACCATATTAGGTCACAGAAAATCTCAATAAATTCCAGAAAGTAGGATATACACACACCATATTTTTGGATTACAATGAAATGATGAACGAAACGTCATTAATAATAGCGAAAAGAGAAGAAGAAAAATCTACCATCTAGAGATTGGAAAACTCTAAAAACTCTTGTTTCAAAGACAAAATCAAAACTGAAATTGTAAACTACCTAGAACGCGTTATAATGAAAAGACTGTATCAGAACTTACAAAATATGGCCAAAGCACACACACAAAAAAATCCAGAGCCATGAATATTCATATGGCTAAAGAGGAAAAAAATTAAACATTTCATTTAATACTTTGAAGAAAACAAAAAATCTACGAAAAGTAAAAATTTATAAATTACAAAACAAAGAACTGTAATTAAACTCAAGAGCTGGTTATTTTGAGATTAAAAATAAATAAATACTAGCAAATAAAAACCAGGGAAAATAACTAAAAATAAAAACTGTCCTGAGTTAGGGAAGAAAGTCTGAACAGATAAGGTATCATGGTAGAAATTTAGACCATCGCTAAAGAACACTCTTATAAAAAAACATCAGTTCAAGACAGTTTCATAGCTAGATTTTTGTAACATCAATAACTATATTCCCTACACCGTACCATAAAAGTTCATTTTTAACTCAAGTTCCCCATCCAATATGAGTCAGGAGCAGACATTTGGTCACCAAGAAACCCCAAAGGGGGAAGACGACACGGGCTTCACGACTTTGTGCCTGCACTCTCTGAATAATGGCCAAGAGAAATAAAACATAAGAATTGGAAAGAATAAGGTAAAATTATACATGCACAAAACGCAGAAGCTGAGGCAGACTAAAATTAGTAAGTATGCAGATTTGAGTGACATGATTAACAAGCTTGATCTAATCACAAAAATAAACTTGAAGACAAAGGAAGTATTAGGGATAAATGAATTATTACTTGATGACTAAAAGAGTATTCCTGGGGTGCCTGAGTGGCTCAGTCGGTTGAGCGTCTGACTTCGGCTCAGGTCATGATCTTGAGGTTCGTGGGTTTGAGCCCCACGTCAGGCTCTGTGCTGACAGCTCAGAGCCCGGAGCCTGCAGCCTGCTTCGGGTTCTGTGTCTCCCTCTCTCTCTGCACCTCCCCCACTCACACTCTGTCTCTTTCTCTCAAAATAAATAAACATAATAAAAAAATTCTTAAAAAAAGATGGCCTAATCCACATGTCTGGGGCCTGGTCTGGCAGGCTGGGGCTGGAGCAGCTCCCCTTGATGGGACTGTCCAGTAGGGCAGTCAGACTTCATACTCGGTGGTTCAGGGCTCCAAGATAAAAACAAACCCTGCCACGTCTCTGAAGGGCCAGACTCAAAATGTGCTCAGCTTTACGTCTGCCACGTTCTACTGGGTGGCTAGATTCAAGTGTGAAGGATATATAAGGAACTTCTGATGGGAAGAGGGTGAGGTACATACATATACAAGAACTGCTTCTTAGGAGGCAGTCTGCACTCTAGCCACAAATATTTACATCCTTCTTACACGAAAAATAAGCTCACCACCTCCAGAGACCCCCGAAGACTCATCCAATCACAGGATAGGGTTATCAGATTCAGATTCAATCATCTAAATCAGGTCCAAAGGTGGATGGGCCCCCGCCAATGGGTTCTCAGGTTAGAAACATATACAGACATTTAAGAGCAGTGAGTCAAACTACCAGAAAGAAATAATTATAATTATATAAATTTATAAATAGATATAAATTATAAATAACATACATAAATATAAATAAATTACATAATTACATAAATAAGTAATTTTAAATGTATATGCACCCATAAAACAACTTCAAATTATAAAACAAAAAAAAGACAAGAAATTAAAGAAGAAATAGACAAATTCACAATTATAGAGGGAAACTTTAACATAATTCTCTTAGTAATTGACAGAAAATCAGAAAAAAAAAAAAAGCTGTATCTATACACCAACAATAAATATTTAGAGAAAGCTTTTAATGATATCACTTACAATAACACGAAAAATACATACAACTATTTAGGAATAAGCCTAACAAAAAAATGTAACTTCTACAAGAAAGTTACTGACTCCTGGTTTTGGCTCAGGTCATGATTCCAGGGCTGTGGGACCAAGCCCCACATTGGGCTCTGCACTGAGCGAGGAGCCTGCTTGAGATTCTCTCTCTCCCTCTGCCCTTTCCCCCGCTCCCGTGCTCTCACGCACGCACGTGCTCTTGCTCTGTATCTCTCTCTCTCTCTCTCTCTCTCTCTCTCTCCTCTCTCTCTCTCTCTCTCTCAAGTTAAAAAGAAAAAGGCAACAATTAGGACACTGTGGTTCTGGTATGAGAATAAACAGACAACTGGACGAGAACAGAGTTTCCAGAAGCAGACCCACATGGCTGTTTGTCTTACAAGGAGGTGAAATTGCATGGTGCTATGGGAAGCTTGGATTTTCAATAAATTTGAGACCCAGGCAAAGTGGCCATCTGTAAGTGAATATGAACCCTTGCTTATATATAGAAGTCAATTCCAATGATACTATGGATACAAAGTAAAAGTAAAAGAAATCAAGTTTCTAGAAAATAACTTGGGAGAATAGTTTCAAGAGCTTGGAGTAGACAACATTTCCTGGAAGGGACAGATAAAGCTCTGACCATAAAGGAAGAGACTGCTAAATGGACCACCAGAGTTACAGCAGGGATTTGTCAAAGGCTCTATCAAAGTGTGACAGAGACAGGGAAAGACATTCGCAACACATTACCTGGAAAAAGGATCCATATCCAGCTTTAAAAGCCCCACAACACAGAATGAGAAAGACTGAAAAATTAGAAAAAGGGAGAAAGATTGGAAAAGAGATTTCACATTAAAAAGAATATCTAAATTGCCAATTAAATATGAAACATGCTCAGTTGCAAAATTCATCAGGGACACAACAATTGAAACCACACTGAGATCATCCCAGAAGAAGGGCTAAAATTTACAAGACTGTGTATAATACCAGTATCGATCGGCAAGGATTTTAGAGGGACGAGAACTCACACACACAGGTTGATGGGGTGTGCATTAGCACAACCACCTTGGAAGGCAATTTAGCGGTGCCTTCTCAAAATATACGCAAGCCTTAGGAGCTGCAGACTCCACTCCTCGGGGTGTACCCAGTAGAAATGTGTGCGCACGCGCGCACCGGGAGACCCGTCCAAGAATATACATATCGACGCTGTTTGTGTCCAAAAGCATGGGAAGGCTCCTGGCTCGCGTTGAGGTCCTGCTGGGCTGCCGTGGGTTAAACTCTGTTTACCCTTATGATGCTTCTCCTGTCTCCCAGCGCCGCAGGTCAGGGGAGCATCACGTATGCAACGGGATATGCATTTGTCCGCGTGAAATTAAACGTCCCCTTAGGAGGACCGAGGTGTGGGCCCAGGGGGAGAAAAAAGGTGAGAAACACTACTTGAAAGGAAGAAAGTGGCAGTCCTCATGCTACTAATGTCCTAGGGATCTTTGTTGACCAGTATGCCAGGATGGAAGCTTGACTTTTGCAAGTTATCAAAGCAACGCACCAACATACTATTTGTCACTAATTATTAACATAGTGGTTGTTTATGGGGACGCCTGGGTGGCACCTGACTCTTGATTTCGACTCAGGTCATGGTGTCACGGTTGGTGGGATCGAGCCCCACGTTGGGCTCCGTGCTGACAGAGCAGAGCCTGCTTGGGATCCTCTCACTCCTCTCTCTCTGCCCCTCCCCCATTGGCTCACGCTCTCTCTCAAAATAAACAAACATTTAAAAAAAAAAAAAAAACAGTAAAGAAAGCCATAAAATGAAGTATTTCCTTTCCATCCACAGTTCTTATCAACACAACTACTATCTTAGGCATACTTTCCAGGAAAAAAAAAAAAAACAGCGTATTTGTATCAGCTTGCACACACGTGTTCTATTTGTCACATCTACCCCACTGGGACGATATTACGAGTACCAACCCACTCCTGGGCTCTCTCTTCCCACTCACCAGGGTGCTGCACGCCTCTCCATGGGGGTTGATCTCATCCATAATGACTGCACTGCATCTCGCCGCAGAGATGTACAGAATCTTCACCCACGGTCCCGTGTTCATGACCTTTCACGCGCTATCAGTGTTTTGGGCAGTTATGAACGACACCGCTGTAAACATTCTCTTAGACAATCTGCACATACTTCCCTTAAGGTAATTTCCCAGCCTTAGAGATGTGGGGTCACGGAGCCATGTGTGTGTTTTTTTAAGCCTAGAATTTATTTTCTCACCTTGGTCATAGGGCAGGACATTCTGATTCTCAGTTGAAGAAGGGTAGTGCCACTTCCTTCTTTCTAATTCACTAGCACGACCTGCTCTTCGAAAAAGAACTTTCTCAGATGAGCTCCTCGGGGCTGCTGTGGAGCTGTGCTTCTCAAGAATCAAAACCAGCCCTGTTACTCCTGAGAAAAGCCCTCATCTGGCCTCATCCCAGGGCAGGCCAGGCCTTCATGCTTCTGTGGGTGTCAGTGCTGGTCCTGGGTGAGTGCAAGTGCCCAACGCGGGCCCAAGGTGGGACGGGGACAGCCTCTCTCTCCACCCCAGGGCTGGCCCTTTCATGGGGCTCAGACGTTCTCTCCTGCAAGGGGAGACTGTTCTCGGGACTCCCCATCCAGCTCAGGGGTTTCTCCCTTGAGTCTGAAGCAGTGGAGGGAGCTGGGATAAACCTTCACCCTTACGGAGAAGGAAACCCCGTGACCACACGGTGAAGGATCTATTCGTTGTTTTTCTGCGATAAATCTTACTTCATGAAGTCCAGAAAATGTATTGTTTGCTTGTTCCTATTGCCTGATTCAGAGGAGACCTTCCTTGTTTCTCTGCAAAGGAGATCATCTATTGCTTGTATGACCAGCCCAGACCCTGGTCCTGGGCACGGAAGGGCACGGTCTCTAACACGACGATGTCTCCTTCCCCTACACCATGGCAAATCCCGGCAGTGATGGGCAGATAAAGATCACAGGGGGAGGGGGACAGCAGGGCCCCAGAGGGAAGGCAGTGAGGCTCGGGGAAAGCCTGGGGCACCTGACATTCTTTCCCCCAGTGTTGACTGAAGTATAATTGGCAAATAAAAACTGTACATGTTTAAGATGCAAAAGATGATGTTTTAACATACATCTATTATTAAAATCACCACCACAATTGAGCTAATTAACATTTCTATCTTTTCACTTCACCTTTTGTGCGCGGGTGTGGTAAGAACTGTCAGGATCTACTCTCCCTGCCAATTTCGAGTGTCTGTTCTTATTAACTATGGTCCCCGTGGTGTGCATTAGGTCTCCAGGATTTATTTATCTCGTAAGTGAAAGTTCATTTCCTTGGATCCACACCCCCCTGGCTCCCCCACCAGCTGGGAAATACCATTTTATTCTCTGCTTCTGTGAGTTCCAACTTTTTTGGACTCCACGTGAAAGTGAGGTCACACAGCATCCGTCTTTCTGGGTCTGGCTTGTGTCACTTAGCGTTGTGTCCTCCAGATTCATCCATGCTGTTACAATGGCAAGATTTCCTTCTTTTTTGAGGCTGCATAATACTCCATCATATATATACATATATGTCCTATTTCCTTTATCCATTCCTTGGTTGGTAGACTTCCATACTCCTTGGTATGGAAACTTAGAATGTTTCCGCATCCTGGCTATTGCAAAGAATGTGGCAGTGAACGTGGGAATGAACAGAGGTGTCTCTTCAAGATACTGGTAACATTTCCGGGCCACCTGGGTGGCTCAGGAGGTGAAGCACCCTCTCCCTCTCTGCCCCTCCCCCACTCTCTCTTTCTCTCTCAAAATAAATAAACCTAAGGACAGAGATTTTTTTAAAAGGTACTGGTATCATTTCCTTTGGATATATATCCAGAAATGGGATTGCTGGATCGTATGATAGTTTTATTTTTAATTGTTTAAGGAATTTCCATACTGTTTTGCATAATGGCTATACCAAGTGCATTCTCACCAACACTGCACAAGGGTTTTCTTTTCTCCACTTCCTAACCAATGCTTGTTATCTTTTGTCTTCATGATAATAACCACTCTGACAGGTGTGATGTGATATCTCATTGTGGTTTTGATTTGCATTTCCCTGATGACTGATGTCGAGCATCTTTTCATGTACTTACTGGCCATTTGTATGTCTTCTATTGAGAATATCTGTTCAGGTCTTTACCTGTTTTTCAGTGAGGCTATTTGTTTTCTTGTTGATTTGTTAGAGTTCCTTATACATTGTAGATACTAACTCCTTATCAGAATCATGACTTACAAATACTTTCTCCCATTCCATAGGTTACCTCTTCATGCAGTTGATGGTTTCCTTTGCTGTGCAAAAGCTTTTTACTTAGATGCAACCCCATTTGTCTATTCTGCTTTTGTTCCCAAGTGCTTTTGGGGTCATATCTGAAAAATTGTGTCCCAGACCAATGTCAAGAAGCTTCCTACCTATGTTTTCTTCTAGCAGCTTCACAGTTTGGGGTCTTACATGTAAGTCATTAATATACTTAGAGTTATTTTTGTACAAATAAAAACAGCACGGTATACAAAAGAGACTATTCTTTCCCCATTGTGTGTTCTTAGCACTTTTGTTGAAGGTCAGTCAGCTGTAAATGTGTGGATTTATTTCTGGGTCCTTGATTCTGTTCCATTGCTCTATATGTCTGCTTTTGTGCCAGTTGGGATGACTATATCTTTGTAATATGTTTTAAGTCAAGGAGTAGGTCTCGAGTTTTGTTTTTGTTCAGTATTGCATTGACTCTCAGTATCTTTTGTGGCTTCACACGAATTTTAGGATCCTTTCTTCTATTTCTGTGAAAAATGCCATTGGAATTTTGAGAGGGATTGCATCAGATCTGTAGATCGTTTCGATAATGTGGTGTTTTAACATATTAATTGTCCCAAGCCGTAAACACAGGATGTCTTTATATTTATTTGTGTTTTCTTTCATTTCTTTCAATGTCTTATAGTTTTCAGTATAGAGATTCTTCGATTCCTTGGTTAAATTCAGTCCTAAATATTCTATTCTTGTTGATGCTAATGGAAGTGGGATTGTTTTCCTGTTTTTTCAAGTAGTTTGTTGCTAGTATACGGAAATGTAACTTTTTTCTGTACATTGACTGTGTGTCTTGCCACTGTACTGAATTGCTTATCAGTTCTAACAGTATTTTCGTGGAGTCTTGAGGGTTTTCTACATATAAGATAACCATCTGCAGAGACCGTTTTACTTCTTCCTTTCTGGTTTGGACATCTTTTATTTCTTTTTCTTGCCTAATGATTCTGGCTAGGACTTCCAGGACTATACCGAATGTAAGTGGCAAGAGTGGGCATTCTTGCCTTTTTCCTGAACTGAAAGGAAAAGCTTTTAGCTTTTCACCATTAACTGTGATGTTACTTATAGGTTCATCTCTTATGGCTTTTACTACGTTGAGATACTTTCCTTCTAGACATAATTTGTTGAGAGTTTTTTTTTTTTTAATCATAAAAACGTGTTGAATTTTGTGAAATGCTTTTTATACATCTATTGAGATGATCCTATGATTTTCAAAATAATTTTTTAACATTTATTTTTGAGAGACTGAGACAGACAGAGCAGGCGTGGGGGAGGGGCAGAGAGAGAGAGGGAGACATAGAATCGACGCGGGTTCCAGGCTCCAAGCTGTCAGCACAGAGCCCAGCACGGTGCTTGAACTCAGGAACCTCATCTGCTCAGGTGAGATCATGACCTGATCAGAAGCCAGATGTTTAACCGACTGAGCCACCCAGGCGCCCCTAGATGATCTGATGATTTTTATCATCCATTCTGTTAATGTAGTGTATCAACTTTATTGCACTGCATACATTGAATCATCCCAGGGGCAAATCTCACATGTTCCTTCTGTTTGCTAGTATTCCATTTTAGGATTGTTTTAATTCTATGTATATCAGAGATATTGGCCTGTAATTTTGTTTTCCTGTAGAGTGCTTATTTGGCTGACCTCACAAAGTGTGTTTGCAAGTATGTTCTCTCCTCTTCATTTTTTTGGAAGCCCTTGAAATGGTTTGGAGTTAATTCTTTAAGTGTTTAGTAGAACTCACCAGTGAAGTCATCTGACTTCTTTGTCGGGGGGCGAGGGGTTGATTAACAATTAAATATCCTTACTTGTTATCGGTCTGTTCAGATTTTCTATCTCTTCAAGATCCATCCAGTCTTGGTAGATTGCATGTTTCTAGAACTTTATTGATTTCTTCTAAGTTATTCAATTTGTTGGGATATACTGTTCATAGTAGTCTTTTTAAAAATATCTCTGTGCTATCAGTTGCAATGCCTCCTCTCACTTCTGATTTTGAGTCTTCCCTTTTTCTTAGTCTACCTAAAGGTTTGTCAATTTACTTTATCTTTTGAAAACATAGCTCTTAGTTTTGTTTTCTTTTCTATTTTCTATCTTCTATTTATTTCTTTTCTAATTTTATTATTTCCTTTCTTCTGCCAACTTTGGGCTTCTCAAGGTATAAAGTTAGGGGTTTTTTTTATTTTAGGGTTTTTTTTTTATTTGAGAGCTTTATCTTTTTCTTGAAGTAGGAATTTATGACTATTAACTTCTTTCTCAGAATTGCTTTGCTATATCCCATAGGTTTTACAATGTGTTTCCATTTTTATTTCACTCAAGATAATTTCTGATTTCCCTTTAGATTTTTCCTTTGACCCATTGATTGTTCAAGAGTATGTTGCTTCGTTTCCGTTATTTGTGAATTTTCCAGTCTCATCCTGTGAACGATTGCTAGTTTCATACCATTGTGGTCAGAAAACTCAATCCTCTCAAATTTGAGACTTGTTTTATAACCTAATACATAATCTGTGCTGGAGAATGTTTCGTGACCACCTGAGAAGAATGTGTGTTCTGCTACTGTAGGATAGAATGTTCTGTATACATCCATCAGGTGTACATGTTAGATATGCAAACTCTTCGGTTTAGAATCTTGTACAAGCCTGCCATTTCCTTATTGATTTCCTGTCTGAATGATCTACGCATTGTTGAAAATGGGGTATTAAGGCCCTTACTACTATTGTATTGTTACTATTCCTTATTTCAGTTCTCTTATTTGTCTTCTACGTTTAGGTGCTTTCATATGGGGTGCATGTACGTTTATGGTTGCATATCCTCCTAATTCCACTTTACCCCTGTATAGTAACTTTCTTTGTCTCTTGTTACAATTTTTGACTTAAAATCTATTTTGTCTGATATAAGTAGAGTTGCTCCTGGTCTCTTTCAGTTACCATTTGCATGGAATATATTTTCCATCCTTCTACTTTGAGCCCATGTGTGCCCTTAAATGTAAAATGAATCTCTTGTAGGCAGCATACAGTTGGATTTTTTTATTCATTCAGATATCCCACGTTTTTTATTGGAAAATGTATTCCTTTTACATTAAAGGCAGTTATTGATGGGTAAGGACTTACTATTGCCATTTTGTTCATTGTTTTCCCACTATTTTGTAGTTCCTTTTTTTTCTTCCTTCTCC